GGGTCACTTCTCAGCGGAAATCAACAAATTGCCGCCAGACCGCCAGATTATGGCCCAGATCGATCCGTCAGACGCCGGCGCGGTGCAGGTCGATTCCGCACCTGAAAGCGCCGACCCGGAACCCGGAACCGCGGCCCAGAACGAACCCGCAGATTCCGAGGACACGACGCCAGACGATACGGTCGAGAGCGAGGCGGCAAGCGAGGGCAGCACGACCGAAGGTCAAGTAGCGCCGACGCCCGGCGAGGCCAACGGCGCCTTTTACACGGCAGAGCAAGCCGAACAGGGTCGGCGGGACTTCACGATTTCATGCGGCGGCTGCCATGGCGGAGAGATGGTCGACGACTTCCAGTCGTATGAGACAGCCGCAGATTTCCATGACTTCATATCGTCCGCCATGCCGGTGGACGCTCCTGGCAGCCTGGCTCCTGCCCAATACACGGCCATTGTCGCATACCTGCTTGGTGAGAGCGGTTTTCCCGCCGGTGAAACGGAACTGACCGATGATACGGAGATCCTGAGTCAAATCGTACCCGGCGAGGCGCCTCAGGATTGAGCCGGTCGGGGTGGCCAAATCGCCATCTCGTTCGACCATGCTCTAAGTTAAGGCGTGCAACCGAGACACGTCCGACGGTTTGCTACCTGAAGATCAACATTTAGGAGCAACAGGTCATGAAACGACTAGTGACGCTGCTATTGGCTTCAAGTGTGCTGGTCAGCACAGCAGGAGCTCAGGAGGATGACGTTCAGAGCCTATCGTGCGAGGATTTCCTTGAAATGGATGAGGCGGCGCAGGAAGAGGTTCTGAACGAGCTCCAGTCCATGGGCATAGGAGGCGATGAGGCTGATCCGGGCGTCGGCGACGCGAACGACATGGCCGACAAGCCGGATGGCGAACCTGCGATAGAGGCAGATGAGGGCGATGATGCCCCCGATATGCCGGTGACCGATGAAGCCGTATCCGACGACATGGCCGCAGACCAAACCGCCAGCGAGGTGACCATAGAAACCGATGAGGGTGACCTGACAGTCGGTGCGGATTTCAGCAGCGTTATCGCTGCATGTGAAGGAGATCCCACATTGACCATTCAGGCTGTATTGGAGGCTGAAGACGACTGAGTGTCTGCCTCGTCGCGACGGAGCGGCGTTATACGCGGCCGCATACTGTCTGGACCATGACCGCGAAAGCGGCCATGCCCGGATCGTCCGTTCCCACGCTTCGCTCGGAAAAGTTCCGCGCACGACCGGCGAGGCAAGGCCGCTCCCGAAATTCTGAGAGAGCCCACTGAGTGCCTTCGATCGCTGCCACCGCCGCGTCGCCAGGCGTAAAGACCGCCGGGTCGGATACGCAGGCAGCGGCACACCGCCCGAACCGCGAACTGCTGGCGATGCTCGGCAATGAACGCGTATCTCACTTTGCATCCTTGGCGAAATACGCGGTGGCGTTCCGCCGGGCAATCGATTTACTGGATCGATTGCCGCGCTCCTCGGTGACACGCGCCAACGCCTTCTTCAGTCGCAGGATCTCTGCTGTTTGATCCGCATCGCCCGATCCAGAAGGCTTCGAGAACTTCCTGCGACACGCATAGAGCGAGTGCTAACTGACCCCGAGCCGCTTCGAAACCTCCGCAACGGATAACCCCGCTCGGTAATCTGCGCGACTGCATCGCGCCTGAACTCATCACTGAAATTGCCAGACCCCATCATGGCCTCCTTGCCTCAAATTTAGGGAAGAAGGCGTCCAGAAATCTAGGGGCTATTCAGACAGCCAACCAGAACAAGCAAAAGCCGCTTCATCTTCACTTCTAAACTTCCAAAAAACATATGGTTGCGGCGGGAAATCATCGACTGGCAGATACGACAGATATTCACCATCGAGTGGGGTGAGGGGTTGACCGGCGTTGTGGGTAAGGACGCAGGCTTTCGGCATTTCGGGGGCCTTGAACGCTATCGCCGTCGTGACTTCAACACTTTAGCCATATGTGAACTTGTCAAGCCAGATTGACGCTTCGGGCACAATTATGATTATAACAGTCAAGTATTTATGATGGAACTAGCGTAGGCTGGAAAAGTCAGACGTTGGACCAGAAAAAGGGCTCGCTCAGCATGCCGAAGACATCGCGCCGGCTCACCGTGCATCCGCTTACCCTGCGGGAGGTCGAAGTCATCCGAGTCACGGATCTGACCCCGGGAATGCGACCGGTCACGTTGGGCGGCAAACAACTCGGTGAGTTTACCTCGGCGAATGGCTTTTCGCAGCCGGCCTTCACATCAATTGGGTTCGACGATCACGTCCGACTGGTCTTTCCTTACCCTGGCCACGCCGAACCAGTGCTGCCCATGCAGGCCGAGAAGGGTCTCGACATGCCGCGGAGACCGCGGCCGTTGTAGAAAATTTATACCGTGCGCCGCTGGGACGCCGAGGCGGGCGAACTCGATGTCGACTTCGTAAAGCACGGCATCGGCACCACATGGGCATACCGTGCGCAACCCGGAGACCGAATCCATTTTTACGGCCCAAATTCATCCAGCACGCTCGTGCACGATGCGGATTGGATGTTGATTGCTGGTGACGAAACCGCCATTCCCGCAATTGCACGTCTGCTTGAGGAACTTCCTGAGGACGCCCCGGCCAAGGTATTCCTCGAGATAGCCGATCCGCCCCACAGGCTCGAACTGCGGAGCCTGCCGAATGTCGAGGTAGTTTGGCTGACCCGCGACAATGCCAAGGACGATACGCTCACGGTTCTTCGAGATGCAGTTCGCAACAGCATCTGGTGGGAGGGACGGGTTTTCGCATGGCTGGCCGGGGAGCATTCCGCCGTGCGCGACCTTCGCCGTCACCTTATCGAGGAGCGCGGGCTTTCTAAGGAGAATGTCGAGTCCTCCGGTTACTGGCGGCGTGGCGAGGTGGTTGCACTTGAGACGGACGGAGCGGTCCCTGACCCCGAAAAGTCGAAAACCCCATTCGAGACGCTCCATGACCTGACCGAACTGGTCCGGCCGATCGCGATCCGCACTGCAGTCGAGTTGGGCATTCCGGAACTGATCTCCCGCGGTATCACCAGTGCCGCAGAACTGGCGGAGAGAACCAGGTGCGACGAGCGGGCCTTGAGCAAATTGCTGCGCTACCTGCAGACTGTGGACATCCTGACCAAAACCGAGTCCAGCCACTACACCCTGACGAAGGTGGGTGAAGTCCTGACAAACGATTTCGTCGCCGACACGCTTCACCCCTCAGGGGTAGCGGGTCGCGAACTGCTCGGTATCTTTGGGCTCACGGAATCAATCCGCACCGGTCAGCCTTCCTATCGTTCGGTCACGGGTCAGACGTTCGCGCAGGTGCGTACCGAACAGGACTATGAGGACAGGTACCTGGAAAGACTGGCGAAATTTCAGCCCGCGCTGGCCGTTCCAATCGCCACTTCCGATCTGCTCGCCGGGGTAAGGCACCTGGTAATCCATTCCGGTGGCGCAGGCGCCCAGGCCCGCGAGTTCTTGGCCGTCCACCAGGACCTGCGGATAACGATCTGTGCCTTGCCCGCCCAGGCCGACTGGCTGCGTCGCGACCTGCCAGAGAGTATCCCAGACGATCAGCAACACGCGCGGGTGAGCGTGTTCGAGATCGCCACGCGGTGGGTGTAGCGCGAGAGATAGGCGAGCACGGCCTGAGGCCCGGCAAAAGGCGCTTTAGCATAAACCACCCAACGCTTCTTGCGAACCGGCGCAAGGTGACGCTGGAAGGCTCGGCGATCGTTGAGCCCTGCCTGC